GAAGGAAGGTTGGGCAATCCTACTTCCGTAGTGATGCTGCCTCGGAAACCCAAGGAGGGGTCGCTATGAGTCGGGGCCGACTCGACGGCACATAACAACAACAACAACAGCTTCCGTCAACATTCACAACCTTGGAAACCTGTAGGGGCAGCTCTCCTGTGCCCTATGGGGGCGCTGGGGCTCTGTGAGCATTAGTCAGCTGGATGTTGTTGTTATGTGCCAACGAGTGGGCTCCGACTCATAGCGACCCCTCCTTGGGTTTCCTAGGAGGTATCTCTATGAAAGTGGATTGCCTAACCTTCCTTCCGCGGAGTGGCTGGTGGGTTTGAACCGCCACCCTTCTAGTTAGCAGTCAAGTGCCCTAGGCACTAGGCCACCAGAGCTCCTACCTCGAGGGGATGGCAGCGAGTAACTAGTGATCAAAGACATGAAAATCATTTACATTTGAAAAGGTAGATTGCTTATCAAGGATATTGAGAAAGGGTCACTTCTTAGGGAAAATTAATAAATCCTCCTGGGAAGTAAGCTAAAACATCTCAGGAACATACTTTACCTTTGACTCCCCTCTTGGATTTGTTAAATCAGATTTATGCAATAAAAGATGACTCTTAAAAAAATGACTCTATAAGGACAAGAAAAACGAAGCTTATGAACAATCTATTTGTACATTCATGAGATGCCATGCTCTGCAGCTGCCAGGAATCATGTTATACGAGAATCTCCAATAACAGGAGAAAGTAGTATACAAGACATTTTGCAAGGCATCATCCATTTATCTCACATACGTACGCAGGGGACAACACTGGGGGATCCACACCAAATATTACGTGTAATTGACTCCAGGGGTAAAAGTACCAGATTTTTAAAATTCCTATTTACGCCACGGATTTTAGTGCATTAGAAATCACTGTACGATTTCAAGTACCTTAACCTCGGTTAAGTTAGAAAAGCCAGTACGTGGCATTGCACAGCCTGGGAAACCCAGGGAGCGTTTTTTTGGAAAGCGTAGGGCACCCACTCGCCCCCGGGTCCAGGTCAGGCGCGCACCTGCCTCCGCGGGCCCCACTCTGGCTGTGTCGGTTTCCAAGCGGAACGACACGCACGCGACAACGGCCACCTCGGCCACAGGAAGGCGGGACGCCTTCGTGTTTCCCACTTCCGGAAGAGGGGGCCTTCCCTTCGCTAAGGTTTCCATTCTCCACTTGTGAACTAGTCGGAACTCAGACTTTCGGGCCAGACTTTCCCGTTGCAGGCATCGTCCCGTTAGGAGTTTCATCCGCGGCCGGATGTCCCGGGTGCCGCAGTCTGGCCACGCGGCCTCTTTAGGGACAAAGGGTGGGACGGGCTCGCCTCGTCCCGAACAACCGTCGGTGGTCGCCATGGCAACAGAGCCCGGCCCGGGCCGCCTCGGGCCCCGCCCCCTGCCGCCGCTGGCTGCCCGCGCCTGACCCTCGGCGGC